GCGCCGGGCGGTGGGCGCTCCAGCGCGGGGGCGGAGGGCGCGCGGCTGCTCAGACGTAGTCCTTGCGGTCGTAGGCTGTGCCGGTGCCCGTGCCTGGCCCAGCGGAGCGCGGCGCCGAGTAGAGGATCTTGGTGGGCACGTATTTCTTCTCCTGCGGCGGGCACGAGCAGCACAGCAGCGCGCCCCCCAGGAGCTGCAGCGCCGCGGCCGCCCAGCCCACGTACAGGCCAGAGCCTATCTCGCGCTTCTGCGAATCGGGCACCAGGGGGTTGTAGAAATCCTGGACGATGGTGTTGGCCGACCAGGACACCGGCACGAGGGTGAGCAGGGCGGCCAGCAGGAAGAGCACGCCCGCCACGATGGTGATCTTTGCCTTGGCGGTGTCGTCCTGCACGCAGTTGGTGCACTGGGCGCCCACGAGCGCCACGAGGAGCCCAAAAGCGCCCAGGAGGATGGCGACCACTATGAGGGCGCGGGCCGCCTGCAGGTCCTGCGGCAGCGCCAGCAGCGAGTCGTACACCTTGCACTGCATCTGGCCGGTGCTCTGCACCACGCAGTTCATCCACAGGCCCTCCCAGGTGATCTGTGCGGTGATGATGCTGCTGCCGATGAAGGCCGTCACCCGCCACATGGGCAGCGCACAGCACACGATGGTGCCCAGCCAGCCCAGCACGGCCAGCGCGGTGCCCGTGATCTCCAGGCCCATGGACATGGCTGCCGCTCCAAACCCGGCTGTGCCGGGGGGCTCCGGGGGCGGGGACGACGAGGGGCCGCGGCCGCTGGGCCTGGGCAGGAACTGCGGCAAGCCGACTAAGGGACGCCCCGACGGACGGACGGACGGACGAATCGCGCGCTAGCTAACGGCTCCTCTCCGCGGGCTCGAGCGCGGCCGCGTCGGCACCTGCCTGAGGCTTGTGGGCGGCGGCGGCGGCTGAACTGGCCCCGAGTTGGGGCCGATTGGTCTTAGATCCGAGCTCAGGCTTGGGCGGGGGCGGAGGGGCGGAGTCGCGTTCTCGCGGACCTGGGGACAGTGACGTGGCCCCTCTTTCCACCTTCACCGAACTCCGGCGGAGGAAGGACTCCGCCGGGAGCGCAGCGCGGGGGTGGCGGGTGGCGAGCCGAGAGGGGGCGGGGCCTGGGCTTGGGCCCCCGCCTCTCCTAGGCCCCCGCTGCTTGGAAACTAATGCCCCTAGTCCGTCCGGGATGGGGTGCAGGTCACAATCTGTTTCACTGGCTCCCTGGCCCCTCATTTTCGACGCCGTTGGCACAGGCGGCGTGGTGAAGGGGGCGCTGCCTGCTCGCTGCCCGCGCCCCCCGGGGACTGGAAGGGCGGCGTGGGCGTGGCCGCGGCTGTTCCCCGCGGGGAGCTGAGCACCTGCTCCTCTGCCCCTCGGGCCTCTAAGCAGCACCCGTCGCGCCAGATCCCGGCCTGATTCAGGCCCAGGGGGTTGCCAGCCCTAGAGGTCTGGACTATGTAGCCCGAGACCACCCGCAAAGGCACCCAGGAGATGCCCCCGAGCCCGTCCTGAACTAAAATTCTCCTCCAGCCCCGCTGCAGCTCCCTCAGCTCTTATCCGTCTCAACGATTCTGGATCCCTTTAG